GGTTCTTGGGGTTCCTTCCAACCCTACAACTCTGTGATTCCAGAGTCTTTTAAGAGTCAGAGTAACAACAGTGTTTAGGGAATTGAAGCATGGGTGGCCTGGCGAGTCGGGTGGCCGCTAGTGCCATGGCAGCCGTAGTGGGCAACCTGAAGTTGGAGAAAGGTATCTGACCCCTACCTTTCTCAGCCACCTGAGTCACGTGGCCCCCCTGGTCCATGACAGGGCTGGCCCCATTGGAAAGTAGTACCATCATGTCCGGGGTACTCTTGAAAGTGCCCCAAATTCCTCAGTTTGAGGAATACGTGTCACACAAAAATTGCAGTCAATTAAAATGCATGACCATTGTGTGGTTTTTATCGTGTGAACGTCTCTTTTTTCCCCCCCTTTCATCTGTACCTGGGCTGTGTGCAGTTCTTTTGCAAACTATGTGTTGAGGAGGAACGGAGCTTAGAAAAATTTCCTTTTTCGGAGACTTACTCCTGCTAGACCTTCTCCATCCAACATGACCCTGAGGGATTCTGGGATTTGTAGTCCCAGCTATGACCAGAAAAAAAAAATCAGTCTTTGCCTCCCATACCTACTGAACAGACTGCTGATGAACTGGTTTTACTGGGGGAATGCTGTACTTTTAGGCTTTGGTTTTCCTGATGTGCTTTTAAATAGTTGTAAGCAGCTGGATGCTTTTAGACGACAATAGAGAGCTCTGTGGCACAATTTTTAAACTGCAGTATTGCAGTTAAGCCTCTTCTCACAACCGGAGTTAAATTCCAATGGGTTCAGGGAGCCAGCTCAAGGTTTATTCAGCCTTCCATCCTTACAAGGTTGGTAAAATGAGCTTGCTGGGGAGTGTGTGTGATGCTGTTTTGCATAATTGTGTTGTCAACTGCCCGGTGAGTGCTCTAAGCACTCAACAACAGCACTGAAACAACAACAATAGTAATAGATTCAATTCAGTTTTAATACTGGATAGAATCCTATTGGTTAGTTGTTGGTACGTGCAGTCAAGTTGGCTCCTACTCACGGTGACCCTATGAATGAGCCATCTCCCAAAGGTCCCGTCCACAACAGACCTGCTCAATTCTTGCAAACTCAGTCTGTGGCTTCCTTTAGGGTGTCATTCCATTTCACATTTGGTGTTCCTCTTTTCTTGCTGCCTTCAACTTTTCCCAGCATTATTGTCTTTTAAAGAGAATCTTATCTTCTCACAGTCGGACAGTCTCCGTTTCAACATTTATGTCTCCAGAGATAGTTCAAGCTTGACTTGCTCTATCTATCTATCTATCTATCTATCTATCTATCTATCTATCTATCTATCTATCTATCTATCTATCTATCTATCTATCTATCTATCTATCTATCTATCTATCTATCTATCTGTCTATCTAATCAGAAAACAAATCCATGCATAATTATCTATCTATCTATCTATCTAATCTGAAAATAAATCCGTGCATAACCAAAACTACACTGCTCAGACCTGTTCAATTCAAGAGGAAAGTGTAATTGTTTTTAGGTTTAAATATTGTGTTTTTAATCACGTAAGCCAGTTTTTAGCTTTTAATATTGTGTTTTTAATCACGTAAACCGCCATGCATCCTTTTTGAGAGAAAGGCAAGGTTTTAAAAAAGTTTTTAATTTAAAAAAAAAACATTAAGGCCTGTCGATATGAACTGGAGAGCTTTTTGGCTTTCGCCAAGAAGAGACCTAAGCCCATTTGGCTAGGCTTTGGTGTGTGTATAGCCAGCCATGCCTCTCTCTCAAAAGTTTGGAAAAAGTTACTTTTTGGACCTCAAATCTCTCTCCATGCCCAGCCAGCATGGCCACTGGCCAGGGAGATGGGGTATTCTGGAAGCTGTAACCCAGCAAGTAACTTTTCCCTAAAAAGGAGAGTGCACAATATGTTTATGGCTGTGTGGGTGGATTGTTGGGGTGGGAAGTTGCTTGTTTGTTTTGTGTTTTTATTTTTCTTTCAGAATGCCAAGAACAACTTGGGCTGGAGGGAAAACAAAGACAGAGAAGGCAATAAGGGTGTGTGGGTGAAAAGGGAGGAAAGCTGCCCTCCCACTACGGCCGATACTAGGTTCCAGGTTGCTATGGACTATATAAAGTGATGCAAAGCATGCACTCTCCCACTATCACTCTCTCCGCACACTCTTGTTAAGCGATAAACCTTGGCAGAAGAGAGGACCTTCCTCGCTGGAGAGCAGCTCGAGGTAAGAAAGCGCAGTTTATTTGCTTGCTTAAGTGCCCGACGGCAGACCTTTAATTCTACCGTGTCCCTCTCCCTCTGTCGCTCACCCACCGTTATTGAGTCCTCGCTGGAAGATGTTGAAAAGACCTGTGAGAGGAATGGAAGAGCAAATAAAATAAACCAGAAGATCGCCTGTGTAGGAGCACAGGAACCCGTAACAGCCAGTCAGCTCCTTTGAACTCAGTAGGACTCTCAAATAAACATGGGCGTTGCAATTATGGAGATACAGAAGACCACCAGCAGGTGTTTTTGTGGTTGTCCAACACAGGGCTATGTTCCACTAACCCTACGGGCAGGCAGATTTCACAGGAAGTGTTACTTCTGAATAAACACTGTTGGCTGCCCGGCACATTTCCCTTATCTGCTTTTGTACTGTCTCTTGATGGGTCTGATGAAAAACAACTGGTGGAAGGAGATAAGAGACAGGAAAAACTTCAAAGTTCAGCTAAGTCTCTGGAAGCTGAAATACATGGGGCTCGCCTCGTGCTTATTCCAGACTAGCGTGCAAAGGAATGGTTGGGATTTTTCAAGCATTCAGAGTGACAAAATTGGGAAGCCGCAGCCAAGCAGCAGAAGTGGGGGGCATGGGATGCTTTATAATTGTCAGATTTTTCTGTGACATCTATTTATTGGTGTCACTGGGAGAGATCTTTAACAGATATCAGCTGAGCAAGGCTTGCTATACTATCTGCAGATGTAATTGTTTCCCCACTAGAGGATTAAAAGAAGCAGATCCACCAAACGCATCATTTGGGGGCGAGATGTCTAAAGAACTGTTTCATGAAAATCAGCATTCTTGATAATCGACGAATGTCCACTCAGAGCGAATGGGGTGCCTCTCACCCATTTCTCGAGTTAGGTGAGAGGTTTGATTTTGGCACATTGGTACGATTTTGCCCAAATTTGCAAATTTCTTCACATATGAAATGGAAAAAAGACTTCATGTTTTGAAAGAGTGGATGTGACAGGGGGAAGACAACCCAGAACAGGTATTGTCCATTAAGCCCTAGGACTTATTTGAGTGTTTTGATCTCAAAATTTCTGGGTTTGAACTCCTGTGTATTGAACCATATGGAGAAGGCTGAATGAAGGCTGCCATCTCTTTTTTTTATGGGCTCCTTATCTTTATAGAACAGGAAAGTACAACTTAATGTTCTCTAAGCCTGTAATAGTTGCACATATTGAAACAGAGGAGCTTTTTTGTTTCAGTTCATGTTTGACAAATTTACTAAAATGTACTAAAATTCATCACATTTGACGAATTTACTCAAAATTTACTAAAATTCATCATGTTTTATTAAATTTACTCAAAATTTACTAAAAGTCATCACATTTGAAAAATTTGGTAAAATTTACTAAAATTCATCACATTTGATGAATTTACTCAAAATTTACTAAAATTCATCATTTTTGACAAATTTACTAAAACTCGTCACATTTGATGAATTTACTAAAATTTGTAGATTTCTTCCCCTTGGGGATGAAAAGGCCTTTTTTTTTTTTTTTAGTATAAGAAGTTAAACCTGATTTCCTATTGCTTCCCTTTTCCCCACATGAAACTTGATTGGCATCCATCCACATGACTCAGTGGTTTAGGCATCAAGCTACAGACGTTGAAAGTTCAATTCCCCTCTGTGCCTTCTGAGCAGGGGCTGAACTTGATGATCTATATAGGGTCCCTTCTAGCTCAGCAGTTCTAAGAGAATTCATTACAGTGCTGGAAACCAGTTGTGTTTCTCTCATTTTCTCACAGAGGACGGCATTTCAGCTTTGGTATATAAATAAAATTTTGAGACGAAGGTGATAAGATGACATGGGTGATAGTATTTCCCCCTACTTGCTTCAGCTAAAGCTAGGATGTAGCATGGAGATGTTTAGGGCTGTGAGAAGCCCCGTTGACGCAAACTGAAAAGGTCTATCTGGCATCCCATCCTTTTCCATATAACGGATAGCTGAATGTTTCATGAAGCCCCACCAGCAAGACATGAGAGCGATAATCTTCTCCTGTTTTCTGTTATATGGCAACCGATGTTCTCTAGTATATTATTTTCCTATTCTATATGGCGATAGTTGTTAGTAGTTGTTGATACACTTCCTCTTCTCTACTCGTTTATCTGATTTCTTTTCCAACCCAGTGGCATGACTTCCACAGATCTAAGCTCATCCTGTGTTGTGTAAATTAATAAATCATGATAGCTGTGGTGATTTTTCTGCATGGTGTAAATCACTGCAATGGATGGCCCAAATTTCTAGCATTATGAAGCATTAAGAATTTCTTCCCTCAAACCACGGTACATACTTATGACCTTAGCGAAACCAAATTTTGGGTCATGCCATACATGAGTTTCACTCATGTAACCAGCATCTCTTTTTTTATCACCCCAAGGCCCTTTGCTTCCTAGGGATTATCTTTCTATGCCATGATGTTATCTGCTTGTTTGCCTCTCTGAAAAGATACCTGCCCTACTCAGTAAGCACTGCTTGCAGCTTATCCACCTTCTCCACTGGCCAAATTTGTTGCCATGCAAAGGATTAAGAAAAGGCAAAGTGCCTTCCAGGATCAGGTCCACGGGGTCCAGCATTGCATAGCCAAATAGCATGGAATCCTGGCTTTCCAAGGTGTGAAGAATACCATCACCTTATCTGGCCATAGTGACTGAAAATCTCCTTCACCTAAGCCTCTCAGGTTCAGAAGTAAACTGTTTCTGTGTGTGATGCAAAGCATGCACTCTCCCACTATCACTCTCTCCGCACACTCTTGTTAAGCGATAAACCTTGGCAGAAGAGAGGACCTTCCTCGCTGGAGAGCAGCTCGAGGTAAGAAAGCGCAGTTTATTTGCTTGCTTAAGTGCCCGACGGCAGACCTTTAATTCTACCGTGTCCCTCTCCCTCTGTCGCTCACCCACCGTTATTGAGTCCTCGCTGGAAGATGTTGAAAAGACCTGTGAGAGGAATGGAAGAGCAAATAAAATAAACCAGAAGATCGCCTGTGTAGGAGCACAGGAACCCGTAACAGCCAGTCAGCTCCTTTGAACTCAGTAGGACTCCCAAATAAACACGGGCGTTGCAATTATGGAGATACAGAAGACCACCAGCAGGTGTTTTTGTGGTTGTCCAACACAGGGCTATGTTCCACTAACCCTACGGGCAGGCAGATTTCACAGGAAGTGTTACTTCTGAATAAACACTGTTGGCTGCCCGGCACATTTCCCTTATCTGCTTTTGTACTGTCTCTTGATGGGTCTGATGAAAAACAACTGGTGGAAGGAGATAAGAGACAGGAAAAACTTCAAAGTTCAGCTAAGTCTCTGGAAGCTGAAATACATGGGGCTCGCCTCGTGCTTATTCCAGACTAGCGTGCAAAGGAATGGTTGGGATTTTTCAAGCATTCAGAGTGACAAAATTGGGAAGCCGCAGCCAAGCAGCAGAAGTGGGGGGCATGGGATGCTTTATAATTGTCAGATTTTTCTGTGACATCTATTTATTGGTGTCACTGGGAGAGATCTTTAACAGATATCAGCTGAGCAAGGCTTGCTATACTATCTGCAGATGTAATTGTTTCCCCACTAGAGGATTAAAAGAAGCAGATCCACCAAACGCATCATTTGGGGGCGAGATGTCTAAAGAACTGTTTCATGAAAATCAGCATTCTTGATAATCGACGAATGTCCACTCAGAGCGAATGGGGTGCCTCTCACCCATTTCTCGAGTTAGGTGAGAGGTTTGATTTTGGCACATTGGTACGAATTTGCCCAAATTTGCAAATTTCTTCACATATGAAATGGAAAAAAGACTTCATGTTTTGAAAGAGTGGATGTGACAGGGGGAAGACAACCCAGAACAGGTATTGTCCATTAAGCCCTAGGACTTATTTGAGTGTTTTGATCTCAAAATTTCTGGGTTTGAACTCCTGTGTATTGAACCATATGGAGAAGGCTGAATGAAGGCTGCCATCTCTTTTTTTATGGGCTCCTTATCTTTACAGAACAGGAAAGTACAACTTAATGTTCTCTAAGCCTGTAATAGTTGCACATATTGAAACAGAGGAGCTTTTTTGTTTCAGTTCATGTTTGACAAATTTACTAAAATGTAGTAAAATTCATCACATTTGACGAATTTACTCAAAATTTACTAAAATTCATCATGTTTTATTAAATTTACTCAAAATTTACTAAAAGTCATCACATTTGAAAAATTTGGTAAAATTTACTAAAATTCATCACATTTGATGAATTTACTCAAAATTTACTAAAATTCATCATTTTTGACAAATTTACTAAAACTCGTCACATTTGATGAATTTACTAAAATTTGTAGATTTCTTCCCCTTGGGGATGAAAAGGCCTTTTTTTTTTTTTTTAGTATAAGAAGTTAAACCTGATTTCCTATTGCTTCCCTTTTCCCCACATGAAACTTGATTGGCATCCATCCACATGACTCAGTGGTTTAGGCATCAAGCTACAGACGTTGAAAGTTCAATTCCCCTCTGTGCCTTCTGAGCAGGGGCTGAACTTGATGATCTATATAGGGTCCCTTCTAGCTCAGCAGTTCTAAGAGAATTCATTACAGTGCTGGAAACCAGTTGTGTTTCTCTCATTTTCTCACAGAGGACGGCATTTCAGCTTTGGTATATAAATAAAATTTTGAGACGAAGGTGATAAGATGACATGGGTGATAGTATTTCCCCCTACTTGCTTCAGCTAAAGCTAGGATGTAGCATGGAGATGTTTAGGGCTGTGAGAAGCTCCGTTGACGCAAACTGACAAGGTCTATCTGGCATCCCATCCTTTTCCATATAACGGATAGCTGAATGTTTCATGAAGCCCCACCAGCAAGACATGAGAGCGATAATCTTCTCCTGTTTTCTGTTATATGGCAACCGATGTTCTCTAGTATATTATTTTCCTATTCTATATGGCGATAGTTGTGTTGTTGTGTTGATACACTTCCTCTTCTCTACTCGTTTATCTGATTTCTTTTCCAACCCAGTGGCATGACTTCCACAGATCTAAGCTCATCCTGTGTTGTGTAAATTAATAAATCATCTGTGGTGATCTTCCACAGATCTAAGCTCATCCTGTGTTGTGTAAATTAATAAATCATGATAGCTGTGGTGATTTTTCTGCATGGTGTAAATCACTGCAATGGATGGCCCAAATTTCTAGCATTATGAAGCATTAAGAATTTCTTCCCTCAAACCACGGTACATACTTATGACCTTAGCGAAACCAAATTTTGGGTCATGCCATACATGAGTTTCACTCATGTAACCAGCATCTCTTTTTTTATCACCCCAAGGCCCTTTGCTTCCTAGGGATTATCTTTCTATGCCATGATGTTATCTGCTTGTTTGCCTCTCTGAAAAGATACCTGCCCTACTCAGTAAGCACTGCTTGCAGCTTATCCACCTTCTCCACTGGCCAAATTTGTTGCCATGCAAAGGATTAAGAAAAGGCAAAGTGCCTTCCAGGATCAGGTCCACGGGGTCCAGCATTGCATAGCCAAATAGCATGGAATCCTGGCTTTCCAAGGTGTGAAGAATACCATCACCTTATCTGGCCATAGTGACTGAAAATCTCCTTCACCTAAGCCTCTCAGGTTCAGAAGTAAACTGTTTCTGTGTTCGGAATTTCCACGCAGTTATTGATAGGCCCATCTGTTGTAATTTTATCCACATCCAAGATAAGAGTCGTCATCACATTAAGTGCAAAATGAATGCCATAAATCGAGCTCTAATCATACATCCAGGGGTTGGTTCTCCCAGTATTGCCAGACTCCAATCCCCAGCAGTCTCAGCTAAGAGGACTCAAAGTCAAAGATGATTAAGGATGACCAGAGGAGCATAGTCTACCAACATCAGCAATTGGTCAACATCTGAAGGTCTCCCACCCTGTGCTATCCATGAATCTGGGAACCCACGATTGAGCTCAGTGGGTCTTATTTCTAAGTTAACATGGACATGATTGCACTCTTCATTATGTGTTATATTGTTTTGTTTTATATGCGTGTGTCCCTTACTTCTTGTTTGAGGCCAGTTCTATCGCTAAGAGGAGACCCCAGCTGACTCATAAAACAAATATTTGCAACATTCCCTCTAATGCTCTGGAGCTCTGTGTGGAGGCTGTGCCCCTTGTGTGTCACTTACTCGGCCACACACACCCAATGCAACTGCACACACCTGCACGCTCATGTGGCTTAGAGGGAACATTGTATGCTAAGTATCAGGAAAGGCCAGGAAATTATTGGTGGTCCGACTTCTCATAGTTGTGTATTTACTGCCAGAAAGAGGCAGAATTTCTTCTGAGATCTTCCACCTTGTGTGCCAAAATATCATGGGGAACTTCGGGTCCTGTCCACATTGTCCTAGGTGACTGGTGAGGCGTCATTTTCTGTTTTGCTTCTGGTTGCCAAAAATCTTGGGGCACACCCTCTCCTTGTTACACACTGTTCGGTCTTTAGGGCTGGGATTTATTTGATTTGCCACTAGAGTTACTTGAAAACAGAATGTATGTGGACCTGACTGACCTTGTTTGATAGACACACTCCGTTGGTTGATAAGTTGGTTGGTCAGTCGGGTGGTTTGTACATTTGACCCTGCTGTTTCGACCATTTTGCAAATGCTGGGGAATGGAGTCTGGAAGACTAACAGATTTCCAAGCTCAGAATCAAGCCCTCAGATATGAGAGCCAGCAAAGGAGTTTGTTGCATGTTGTTCTTTCTCCTTATCTTTATGCAAAGGCGAAAGAAAATGAAGCATTTATTTATTTGCCGTTGCTCCGAACTTGGGCAATAAAGCTGCAGACCCTTAGAGAATTACGAGAACTCTGGTGCTCTATAAAGAAGACTATCATCTGCCAGCATCAGGGCCATGGTGGTTGGGCATTCTAGGATTTGTAGTTTAAAAAAGGAACATTTCCAAGGTCTGCTTATCCATCTAAGATGGACGTCCATTCCTTCTGAATGGACATACAAAGAACTGGATTGTTAATCTTGAGGGAAAGGCATGCTATGCATCCTTTGAGTTGCTCTGAGCCATATTGCTAATTTTCAGTTATTAGTAAGATATGATTTATCTAGGGATGAACCAAAATTTCTCAGACCTTTTACTTAGAATACTGGTGTTTCCCCTCCACACCTCTCCTGTTAAAGAGTTGTTTAGGTATCTGGCTGAGGAACCAGAGGCTGAGAGTTCAATTCCCCACACTGCCTCCTTGTGAGTAGAGCTAGCCTGGGTGGCCTTGGGCACAAGCTTGACAGCCCCAAGGCTCCCCCTAGAGGAAGGGAATGGGAAACCACTTCTGAGTAGTCTCTACTTGGAAAACTCTGAAGAAGGTCGACAGCATGTTGTTGTTGTTGCTGTTGTTGATGATGATAAAGAGGACAGTTTTACCAAGACTTCTCTATCATTGTTCCCATCCTCCACAATCCCCTGGAAAGATGCAAGGGCCAGGGGGTGAGGGAGGAAGCAAACAGCTGTCTAGGTTGGCGACACAGCTGCCAAGCTGCTCCTCCTACCAATGATGAGACAGACTCACCCCCAAGAAACTTTTGAGGAAATGTCCTCTCCCTCAAAATAGCATGGATAACTTTGGACGGTTGGGGGGAATACTGCATTGTCTGCTCCCGAATTTCTACAACCCATGACACCACAAGCTCTACCAGATGTCACTCACAGTTACTGAAATTCAACAGAAGCCACTGATTTTTTACAGCTGATACTTTGTGATAAAAGAGGGTCCCAGAGTGCCCTTCCACACCATAGAGTGGCTTCAAGAGGGATTTCTTTCTTTCTTTCTTTTCCCAGAGAGGAAGAGAAG